ATTTGGCATAACACCGAGCAGTTCGACGGAGGTATGAGGAGGATATGGTATACAAATACCATTCTCCTATCCCTGTCTTGGTGGCTTACATTAGAGCAAACGGAGTATAGCACAGGGCTAACTGTGATATACACTCGTACTGCACCATAAACTTGAAACAAAAAAGTTATTTTCTCTATATAGATTATCACACATAGCAGCTTTGTGGTAGAAGGAAACTAGGATAACCATAAAAATGTTTCCCCAATGCTTGGCGTTTTCTTTACCTGGCTATGGTTTAGCCATATAAATGGGTAATGGTTGTTAGCCAGGTAGTGGCGTGTTTCCTGGACACTGCTTTTTCTTGATTTAAAACCCATCAGTTTATAAGGGTACCTGGGTGTTAGCCGTACTGTATGTGGTGTTACACTAGATACTGATTATTATTTTCTCTTGTTTGTCCCCTCAAGGAAAGCCAGTTTTCTTGATTAGGGAATTGACTGTGCCCAGCAAAAAGGCCGTATGCCTTCCACATTACGGTGTATAATCCTCCAGGTACTTATTATTATAATTATAATTCTCAGTTGTTTGTTGGGTTATCTTATTCAAACTTGGGCAATGTATGATGGAAAGATACTTCTTCATGTACACCAAAAATGAAAGAAATCAGACTATAAATAGCGGAGTTCACTTCTCAGCCATCAGCGGCCGCTTAGCGGTATATTTTTGTATGGTTGTTATGGTTATATACTCATTTTTTCGGCCTCATTTGATGGAATGAAAGATATATTACAGAAATAGATATGATTTTGATTGCTTTCATGATGAAAAGTATCTTGAAATTGCGCGCACAGTAGCGAAAATGTTCTATTCTTCAGCGAAGCTCCAGTACGGAGTCAAGAATGGCTTGACATCATTTATACAATTATTACAATAATGCAGCAGTCTGCATAACAGTAAATCTATTTTTTTGTGAAGAAAAATTCCAAATGAAAAGCAAGAATATTATTATTATAATCAAAAAGAAGCACTAAGCCACAAGGGCTAGACAGCAAGAATATAAGAGGGGCCTGTAGCCATGACTAATGAGCAGAGAAAATGTTATTTTAGTGCCAGGAATGTGTGCATTGTTTATTCTGGACCCTTTTTTTGAAATTGGCATCTGTTGAAATTTGTGTGAAATCAGCCAAATTGTCAATTTCTGACCACTTTATTGGGTAGTTGAAATAAGTGAATGGGCAGTTTCTTGTACTCAGTTGACAGACTAGAAGTAAATAAGTTTATTCAGGTATACACAAATACAGTTACATAGATTATCATACATAGCAGTGTATGTATAGAGAACCTAGGATAACCCAGAAAAGTCATATTATTATTATTATAATAAAAAAAGAAGCGCAAGCCACAAGGGCTATACAGCAGAAAAGTCAGATAGTGACTTATTTCCGGTACCTGGCTTGGGCTTGCCATATATGATTTTTGGTAAATATTTTTTTTTCTCGGTTGTTTGTTGGGCTATCTCATTGAAATTTGGGCAATGTATGATGGAAAGATGCTTCTTAACGTACAACAAAAATAAAAAAAACGGACGATAAATAAGGTAGTTAACTTCTCAGCCATTAGCTGCCTCTTTGCAGTGTATTTTCGTATGGTTTTTATGGTTATATTCTCATTTTTTTGGACTCATTTGATAGAATGGAAGATATATTACAGAAATAGACATGATTTTGATTGCTTTCATGACGAAAAGTACCTTGAAATTGAGCTCAAAGTAGCGGAAATGTTCAATGAACTGTGTAAGTCAAGTTGGTTAATTTTATTGTGTGTATTCTAACCTAACCACTCTGTAATCTGGCACACTACAGGTCCCAATGATGCCGGATTTGTGATGGAGGACCTGTAATAATATTATTATTATCTTCATTCACTCTAAAAATGGTGTGTTGCTGTTTGTTTATTCTAAACTAACTTGTACAACTTGTACACAATGTAAGAGCATTTGTATTGTGAGGTAATTATTATTATAATAAAAAATATTGAGGTAAATGTTTTAGACTCTTACAAATGGACGTGAATGAACTAAAAGTACACACACATTAATACGCATTTATTTCGCCTGACCAAGTGATCGTCCACTACCTGTTCAGTTTGTGTTCTTAAATTGTCTCAACTCTGTATCTCGTTCTCTCTCTCTCGTTTACTCTTTCGTTAACTAGTTGGCTCTCATTGACGATGGCGTCTAAGGTTAGCTGTGATAAAAGAGAAGTCGTAAGCCTCTTGCTTTAAGTGCCAAGTTAGAGGATGATGGTATGCCATTCTGATTTTATTCAATAAACTCCCTGCCACTCACCTCTCACACATTAATATTAATATTTTAAGGTAAGTAATAAGTGTACTCTGTGTGTATCTTACCTTTTATTGAGTTTATAATGCCTATTTCTATTGCTAACTTAATATAAGTTAGTGTTAACTTGTTGTCTGGCATTTATTGCATATTTTATATGAGCTCTGATGATAATACTTGTGGACCTGTGTGGTAGCCGGGTGGAGGGACAACATTACGTTTTCTCTGCTCAGCCATCAGAGAAAACGTGTATGAATCTGCGTTTGGCCCAGCCACTCCCTCACTCTGCTTTTGTTTACAATTTTCGGCATGAATTATTCATTACTTCTACCTTCATTTATGATGGCATCTAAAGGTAGTTGTTAGAAATGATTAAATTCAGTGAACAAGTTCTTCTTTCTTCTTTCAACAAACCGGCCGTATCCCACCAAGGCGGGGTGGCCCAAAAGGAAAAATGAAAGTTTCTCCTTTTACATTTAGTAATATATACAGGAGAAGGGGTTACTAGCCCCTTGCTCCCGGCATTTTAGTTGCCTCCTACAACACGCATAGCTTACGGAGGAAAGAATTCTGTTCCACTTCCCCATGGAGAAGTAAAACAAGTTATGTCGATATTATAATATGGCTCTGGGCCACAGTGTAGGGAGCGGTAGGTGTAGCCCACCTGGGCTACACCTACCGGCTACCTACACTGACTTCCTACAAATAAATATACTCCTCCCTTCCTTAATTAAGACTACACATTTTTTAAAGGTAAATAAGAGTGTACTGAATGTGTATTTTACCTCTCTGGGATGTTTTAAGTATGCGTACCTGAAACCTGACTTCTACAAATAAGTACTACTCACCTCTCCCCCTACATTATGATTACAAAATACTTTAAGATAAGTAATGTTGGAGTGTGAGCAAAGTAACATTTATGAAGAGATTCAGGGAAACCGCAGGCCGGACTTGAGTCTGGAGTGGGAAGTACAGTGCCTGCACTCTGAAGGAGGGGTGTTAATGTTGCAGTTTAAAAACTGTAGTGTAAAGCACCCCTTTTGGCAAGGCAGTGATGGAGTGAATGATGGTGAAATTTTTTTTTTTCAGGCCACCTGCCTTGGTGGGAATCGGCCAGTGTGTTAATAATAATAAGTAATGAAATTTTCTGTTATTTTACTTTGTGTGTTTTAATGCCTGGTTCTATTACTAACTTAATATAATTTTGTGTAAACTTGTTGTCTGGCATTTATAAAAGGAAAAAAATGGCGTTCTGCCTTCCGGCAATGTTGCTTTTCCCGCGACAGCCCGGAACCTAACCCGCCGTATAAGTGGGGCCCTACTGTACTTAGCAAAACCAAAATTGTTTAAATTTCACATTGTAACCTTAACAAAGGAAATAAACCTTTGTCTATATCTTTTACCTTTAGTAATCTGCTAAATTTTGCATTAAAATTTTAATATCTTGTACTAATTAGAATGACTAGGATTGCACAAATAAAAATATCTAAATATGAGCAATTCAATGTATACCAAACAAGTGGTTTTAAGCAAAAGTACTATTACTGGCCAAGTTTCAAACCACGAGGCTTTCCCAGATGACTAGTTCAAATCTTGGCCCGTCACAGTATGTACAAGCAAAATAGTTATCCTCTTATGTTGTACACCCAATTAAAATAGTGATTTTTTCGTGATAGTGCTGCAAGACCCTTTTATTATTATAATAATAATACATTTTTAAGCACTTGTACTGTAAAAAAAAAACATTGGATACTTAAATTAGCAAAAGTTATTCATCAGTGTATAAAATGTCAGTACAGAAAACTTTAAAACTGAATATAACAATAACAAGGATAGTTAAATTTAAAAAATGTTAACCTGGGGTGCCTCAGAAAAATAAAAGTAAAGAAAACTAAAGACCAACAGTTGGACATAACCCGGACTTCACTTGTGGATCATTTGGAGAAAGTTAACCATGTACTTGGGTTGGAGATGAGGATTTTGTTGATAGTTTCTTGACTTAGTCCCCGGTCCAACATTTTTTGGAACAACATTTGTAAGAATGTGACTGGAAGCCATGACCACCATAAGCTTTCTGTACAAAAAAAATATGAAAGATTAAATCCAAAAGGAATATTTATAAAATGAATATCAAAAAAATAATAAAGGCCCCCACTGTCGGCAGAATTTGGTTAAAAAAGTAATAGTACTCCATTAGGATACAATCTGTTCCATAGAAAATATTCATTAGATAAATTATTTTTTTATTTCCTTAAACCTTTTACTAGTACAGGTTGGCCCATCAGTAATCGGGCACTAATTTCGGCTAGCATAATTTCAAATTTCATCAATATACAGACTCAGAAATTGTGCAGATGGTTGTAAATCCACAGCAGAAGCCAGTGGTGGAGAAAGCAGTGATGAAATGAAGTTTTAGCAGAAAGAGTATTGGGCAGGTTAAGTGTACACCTACCATCCAATTACGACCGAGTTCGGTTCCGAGAAACCGGACGTAAGTCGAACTTTACTACTGAATATCAACATAAACATTTTTTTAATGACTTTATTTATTTAGGTATTTCTGTTTTACTTTATTTTTTATGCTGTTAGTACTGTAAGGTTTAGGTAAACACGTGTACAACACAAATAGTTGTTTATTTCCCGAAATTTGGCAAAAAAAAAAACATGGTCGTAAGTTGAGTGGTAGGTGTATTCTAACCTAACCAGTCTGTAATCCGGCACACTACAGGTCCAAATGATGCTGGATTAGTGATGGCCGACCTGTAGTAAAAATTACCACCCATAAAGGAGCAGAACAGTAATTTTCCTCCTACACAACTCTTGCCATATGTGCAACATCAATAAAATCACATCTAAGACATCAATGCCCATCAGTGTCTTAATTTTTAAAAAAAAAAAATCTTAAAATAATTTTTTCTAACAGTGATGATGCCAAAAATGCAAAACTTGAGGAATTCCACAGATGCAAAGTTGAAGGTTAAGAAGCGCTCTACTCAACTGCAATTTCACCAACTTTGAGGCCTATTTTAAGCCAAATCAAATTGATCAAACCATCAAAATTAATGGCTATTTAGCTAATATGCCTCTGTTCTATCCACAGTGCACCTTCCCTTCTGACCCTCCTTTAATCCTGACTCTCTCATTGACTTCTTGACAACGACTGATTTACTCCACAAACTCTGATGATACCTTACGCACTCCCCTCAGCCCTTTCTAGCTCAGTCTCTTGCTGCCCTTTACCCTTTCACCATCCACTGCTCTGCTGTTATCCATAACCTATTACTCATCCACCTGATGCCCTCGCTTCCTGCCCTGCAGCGCTGTATAGCCCTTGTGGCTTAGCGCTTCTTTTTGATTATAATAATAATAATATCCACAGTGCAAGAAACTGCCTCTTGCACTATCAACACTATCCTATAAAGTAAACTACACAATTCAACAAATTTCAATTTAAAAATGCTAATCAATCCAGCTATTAAAGCAGCCTTTCCTCTGTTAATCAAATCTCCAGACCCCTCCTATATAACACTTGCCCTCTATTTTGAATTTATCATGCAAAAACAAAAAAAAAAAAAAAATTTACCATATTTCTCAGCTAATAAATATAACCAAGAATGACTGGTAATGGTTTAGGCCATCACAATAAATTGAAACAAACCTAGAAAAATCCCATGGAGGAGACCCCCCTACCCTTCCTCAGGAAAAATGCCAAAAAATCCAATTTCAGCAAGAGACCTATTTTAGGCCACTTCTCAGCACTGTATGACCCTTGTGGGTTTAGTGCTTAGTTTTGATCACAATAACAGACATCTAGTCCAAAACCATCTCCATTTCACAAGTACATTTTCTGTTCTATTAACTGACACAAAAAAATGGCCAATAAACTATGAAAACCACTTATGCACTGCGTGAAGCAAAATTTTGTTTTTGGCGCAGATTCCCCTCCATACAAACATTCGTGTTGCAAACTTTAAGTACTAAGAACATTATTATTATCAAAGAAAGCGCTAAACTGACATGGGTTATACAATGCTGTGGGGCAGAAAATAGCGCCGGGGCTATACACAGCTAGGTGGAGAGGGTATCAGAGGTGAGGGGAGAGAAGGGCTGGAGGGGACACTAAGGGATGTGTCAAAATTCGTATAGTAAAACAGTCGCTGACAAAAAGTCAAAAAGTGATTGTAAGTCAAAGGCAGGGCCATCTGTAAGGTAAGATGAAGTAAGAGCGGTAGGATCATTGGAGGTAAACCGGGCAATCCATAAGAACCAAAATAGGGACCTGGAAAACCTCAGAGAGGAATAGGGTGTCATTCCATGAGACACCCATACAAGAGGGTGATGTTGAAGTGCACTGATCATTTTCATAATGAACAAGAGATGCGATCAAACTGTGGTAGCCATGTTCAGGGTCATTCTGAAGAAGAATTGGAGGTGATGGCTTCAAGACACTGTGTTCTATAATGAAGTATGCAAGAATGAGCTCATGCTTGAAATACCAAGACTAAGGAGATACCTGCAAGCTGCTGATGTTGATCTTGAAAAAGTTAAGCACTGGACCGCATTGGATGCACTAACATTCATAGCTGAATGAGATTTCATTGAATCTTTCAACTCTGACACTCTGCCTGAGGTTGTTCCTTACTATGTGTTTCTGTGGCTTCTTGTGAAAGGAGTTTCTTGAAGTTGAAGCTGATTAAAAACTATTTACGGTCTACAATGAGTCAATCCAGAATATCTGACTTAGCAATGTTATCCATAGAAAATGGGTCAGTTGACAGCATTGATTGATGATTTTGCAGGATTGAAGGAAAGGAAATGTAAGATCTGATTCATTGAGATGTTACCTGTACTCAAGGTCAAATCAAAACCAGTGTTTCTCTGATATTGCAACTTTTTTCTTTATTTTTCAAGTTTCATTTTTTTGGCACTGTTGAAGACGAATAAATGTAGGATCTATTGCCTGTACTCAAATTGGTATTTGAGTTTGTTTCCTCAATATTACTACGATTATTTATTTTATTAATAAAGTTGAGAAGTATTCTCCTGTTTAGTTTATGGCCCTTAAACATTCTCACTGCTAAACATTAGTCACTGGTCATGCAGTAGTGATGTGACTGGAGTTTACTCCCCCCATCCCCCCGCCCCTGGATTTCATGGGGGTGACACCAACCCTAGCAACAGACTATGTGATGGCAGGGTTTACTGTTTTCAGGAGGATTCTCACTAAGACCTCAGAGATGATGAAGCTGCCTTTGTTTTGTTTGTGTCAGACACAGTGATTAATGCTGATTCAAGGCACTTGCGTCTGCAGAAATTAGGTTCTTTGATCACTAATTAGGTGTCCCTGAATTTCATGAGATGATTGGTGGAATTTCGGTGTTGTACACAGGTGATGTTCAAGTTATCATTCCTACATGCATTGTGTTCATTGAGGCATGTTTCAAGGTTCCTTGCTGTTTCACCTACATAAATCCTGTCACAGCCTCCACAGGGTAAAGTGTAAACCTCTGCACCATGAACCCCTGGTTCATGGTGCTTGGATTTTGTCCTAGTTAGATCCTTTATTGAAGTGCTGGATGCGATGGCAATGCTAGTGTTAGCTTGTGCTAGTACTTTAAAAACGTTCAATGCAACCTGGTTGTTGGGAAGCGTTATAACTTTGTTAGGAGTGGTGTTGGTGAGTGGGGAATTAATGATCTGAAGAGCTTGTTTCTTGCAGTCTTTAATGAAAAAGGAAGGAAAACGTAAATCGGTGAAGGTTTGGTGAATGTATGTACATTCCTCATCAAAAAACTCAGGACTACAAATTCGGTATGCTCTTAGGAAAAATCCAATGATAATGCCTCTTCTGGTTTTAGTATCTTGACTGGAATAGAAGCGTGCGAGATCATTTTTATTTGTAGGTTTCCAGTAAACTTGAAATCTTATTGTTATCTACTTTGTGGATAAAGACATCTGGTAAAGGTAGCTTGTCACTGGACTCTCCTTCTAGTGTAAACTGGATCGCTGGTTCAACTGCGTTAAGCCTTGCCCGAAGATTTCGTACGTCAAAACTTTTGGGAGTTATTACATGGACGTTGTCCATGTAAAGCAACCAAGTGATGCTTGAGGGGATGATGATGGCAAAGTGTTCAGCCTCTAGGTGTTCCATGTACAAGTTGGCACTGATGGGGGACCACCTTCCCATGCCATAGATTTGTTTGTAGAGCCTGTTATTGAAAGAAAAACAGCTGAAATTAACACAGGTTTCAATCAGGTCAACAAAATCTCCGGGAGGTAGAGGAAGATTAAGGTCCTGATTGACTTTACATCGTAGAAGGTCAACGGCTTGTGTGGTAGGTACTTGAACACACTAATGCATATAGGAACGATAACTTAACCCTTTGAGGGTCGACAGGCCCTCTCCAAAACTCGTTCTCAGGGTCGGCCAAATTTAAAAAAAAAAAAATTATTTTTTCTTGTGAAAAAAGTTTTTTTTTCTAAACATTATAGGCTAAACAAAAAAATTTTACTGTCAATACTTACCGAGATATGGAGGCGTGAAGTTTGCCAAAATTGAACAACATCTGGTAACATCGCCGACTGCCGTCGCCCGGTATTTTTCTATTTACTTTTTTATGTACTATTTTCAATTATTTTTCAATTTTTCTTTTTCTGAGTAACTTTTATGGCCTCTGAGGCCAACATGATCAGTATTTTGTAAGTTATTTCTTTTTCAATACTACACAATAAGGGTGTAAACACTGTTGTCATTTTGTTTATAGAAAATATTTACACAAACAAACGATATGAAATGTTGTTTATTACTATTTTTCTATATTTTATATACACATATACAGTCACAGGGAATGTTTCTAGAAGTTCTGCAGCTGTGGAAGTCTTTGAAACATGGTGTCATGCACAGTGGTGTTTTACATTCCTCACACATAAAACGAGTGTCTCTGCGTTGTTGTGGGCGTTTTTTTGTATGTGAACAGACGTAACACCTCTTCTGAGCCTTTTTCTTGAAAGCAGTAGCAGGCACTTTTACCAGGAAGTGATCACCATGCTTCAGACGAGCAGGTAGTTGTTGATAATTTGGTGGGCGGTCAATTGCAGGTGCTGTTCCTTGAATACTATTTGTCTGATGACAGACAAACAGAATTCGCCATACTGTGGTTTGTTTCTGGTCCTCATCTTATACATATTATAAGCATTGAGCATGGAAATGTCCAGAAGATGGAAAAAGAGTTTTATGTACCACTTATAACTCTTGCGAACACAATCAGCAAACCCAATCTGCATGTCACATTTGTCCACTGAATGCATGTTAAAGGTGTAATCAATCACAGCTGCAGGTTTTAGAATGGGTTCATTGCTCTCTCTATGCTGCCTGCCACTGTCTGCCATTTCATTAGGGTGAACTGATGACAACAGCGTGACATCTCGTTTGTCATGCCACCAAAATGCCATGATGTCATTGGCAGCAAACGCCTGCACCTCACAACTACGAGTGCCAGCGTCAAACCTGGGCATATGTTTCCGATTTGCACGCACTGTGCCACACACATCTGTCATGTTCACTCGCAAAAAATCACTGAGTGAGGGGCTTGTGTACCAGTTATCTGTATATAATATATGCCCCTTACCAAGGTATGGTTCTATCATTGTTCTAACCACATCACCTGAGATGCCCAATAACTTCCTGGTATTTTGCAATGTATAACTTCCAGTGTACACAATAATATCCAATACCAGACCACTGTAACAGTCACAAAGCACAAACAACTTTATACCAAAGCATTTCCTCTTGCTTGAAAGAAAGTCTTCCTTTGAACAGAATCAAAGACTCGTCAATTACAAGCTTCCTGAAGGGATAAAAATGCGTACTGAATTTCTTTCAGATACACAAACACATTCCTAATCTTATATAACCTGTCGTTTCTGTCAGGCCTGGTTTTGTCTGAGAAGTGAAGCATACGTAACATTAGCACAAATCGATTCACTGGCATTATATCACTGAAACCTGGGGAAGCAATCAGGCGGTCTGTTGACCAGTATGATTTCACTTTGTGCTTATACACATGTGGCATAAGCATTATTGTGGCAAAGAAAAGATACATCTCAGCCACAGTTGCCTCCTTCCACTGGTGTAGACGTGATTTTGGTGAAAGTAATGTGTTTGCCATGGTGTACTTGTAGTATGCGTTTCTTTCCATGACAATACTTTCCATCAGTGGTTCGTCAAAGAATAACTCGAAACATTCCAGTTCAGTGTCATTGTTCCCAAGTGTACAAGATGGCCGTATTCCACTTCGGCTGTCATCAAACTGGTGGGCATTTGGAACAAAATTGACAGCTTCCTGCCAATCCCAGGTGCGGTCTGCTGGTGGGTACTGGACAAAGACAGGTGGGTGTGGTGGGTGGGTGGGGGATGGTGGCCTTTGTTGTCGATCAGCTCAGGCAGCGGCGTGGGTGGCAGCATGGTCCACTGCTGGTGCCTCACCGCCGGCACCACTACCACCACGCACATTTTCCATCCCAATTACAACAGTATCATCGTCATTTTCACTGTCTGTTCCTGTTGTACAGCCACGGGATGTACTCCGAGATGCACTCCTTCCCCTTGGAATAGCATATGGCATACTACCAGAGCGCATACATCGTCGTATATACTGACGCTTCACTGGGGAATATTGCACTTCACTATCACTATCATCACCCATGCTCTCATCTGAGTCTGGGATTTGGGAAAATAGAAGTTTCCTCTTGGATTCTGGTACAACTGAACGTGACCAAGACGGCCCAGCACCAGAGGTGGAAGGCGGAGGGTCGTCTGGGTTTTCCTCACTATTACCGATATTATGGTCATTAGTTTCGGTCAAAACCTCACCAAAACCTTGAAACTCATCTTCACTGGCACTTCCATCTGTATTAGAACTGTCACTGGTGAACAAAAGTGTCCCAATTCGCCGAGGAGTGAGGAGCTTCTTACCGCGAGGCATGGTGGATATTGTTTACTAAGATGGCGTTCCCACAATGAACCACTGGGTCCCAGATTTTTTTTTTACCGCACACACCGACCACACAGACCCATTCTCTCACATGTAGGCCTACCAGCCTTTTCCCACGAGATTTGACGGCGCTAGAATTTGTGCGTACTAGTACGTCAAAAAACCCTGCGCGTAAGACGTACTAGTACGTCCGAAACCCTCAAAGGGTTAAATAACACCTGCATACAACACCGAAATTCCGCCAATCATCTCATGAAATTCAGACACACCCGATTAGTGATCAAAGAACCTGTTTCCGAAGACGCAAGTGCGTTAATTGTTGTTTCTAACACAATTAAACAAAAAGGCAGCTTCATCATCTCTGAGGTCTTAGCGGGAATCCTCCTGAAAACAGTAAACCCTTCCATCACATAGTCTCTGCTGCTAATACTACACAAGCTCATTAAGGAGGAGGAACACTGCAACAGACCTTCTCAAATCTGACTGTCAACATTTGTCTAACTTATTTTTATGCTACCCAAGTAGTAATAGCTTTTATAACCTTTTACTCATGTGCAAGTTGGTTGTTCTACCATAACTAATATTACTACTACTACCACTCTAAGCCTATATATACCCTCTGTGTCCGTGTATTGTTTGTAACAGTTTGATAAAGCTCCTGGAGAGCGAAATCATGCCACAATAAAATGTCACATTAGTTGCATTTGTGTCTTTTTACTTAACATACCGTCGGTAATTCTACCAATAATAATACAAGACAGTGACTGACTGACAGTGAAAGTGTTTCAGTCTTTATTGGCCACCTTATTCCTAGTAATGACCCTCGTATTGTAGATAGTCTTAATGACCCTCGTGTAGTAGATAGTCTTTTTAGTATGATAATAAGATTTAATCTTCATTGTAGAATAATAAGAAAATATTATAACCTTTATATTATAATAATAAGGTAAAAGGACCCCAATGGAAATAAGTCACTCTGTCTGACTTTTTTGGGTTATCCTAGGTTCTCTACACATATGCTGCTATGTATGATAATTCTATGTAACTGTATTTGTGTATACCTGAATAAATTTACTTACTTACTTACTTACACCCTACCTTGGTGGGAAACATCCTGACTGTTAAAAAAATTAGGAAGAGTAGAGGAAATTAAAGAAAAAAATTGGGGCTATATTTACATCATTGTAAATACATTAGTGAATAATGCCAGTACAAGTGTTCATGCCACTTTGAATGGTAACAGTATCACTAAAGATGCAAAATATGTCACAAAGTGGTACAAGAAAGAAAAAATATACTCAGACGGCAAAGACGAATAGCTGTGTACAACATTTACAAAAGGCTTACTAAAAGTAAAAGTAATTTACTAACCAAACGGTGCAAGGTGTGAATGTCATGAGCTATGAGAATTTTATCTTCAAAGCCATTGTCAACCAAGTGCTTTATGCGTTCAATTCTTTGTGCATCAGAGGGCATGTCAACACTTGTGTTAAGCTGGTAATGAGAAGTCTCTATCCCAAACAAGTCATACTCGCAGTAGGTGCCAAGTGATGCATACTCCACCAAACCATCTAATGTATGGAAGGTTCCTGTAAAGACATTAATCAAGCAAATTATTAATAAATAGAAAATTTGATGCATGCAAGAATACTGTGTCCAACATTAGAATAAAATGTAGTCACCTATTAACCAACTCCAGCAGGAACTTGGATAGATCTGATTATTTAAAAGTTGGATTAAATTAAACCATCTCTCCTTTCCCCAATGTTCAGAGACATGGTTTATATATACACAGTTTGCTATTTTACCTAAATTTTATGATAAATTTCATGGAAAGATATTTCTTAGCTAATAAATAGTGAAAATTGTTATGCGCTTTCTTCAAAAAATCAACCACATCAAATATAGATCCATTCTTAGGTTGGCAACTAATGAATGCAATAAAAAATTCAAGAATTGCAAGCAAATAACTAATGTGGGTAAAGAGGCATTTATGGTGGCCTCTGAGAGATTGGAAAGGGCAAATCCCAATAGAATTGGCAGGTTTTGGTTATGTTTCATGAAAAAAATAAAGCCTGTCCAAGTGTAATAGAGAGAATGCAAAACCAAGTTAAGAGTCGGACCTGACAATGCAAAATAAAATGATGAAGGAAAGTGTTCAACTCAAATAAATACTAGTTAATAAATATAAAGAGTTCACAACAAATTAAAAATGTTTCTTTACAGTAATTCTAAGACACTTTAAGCAGGGAAAACTTTTATTTAGCAATGTTTTACCAACAGCAGAACTTTATCAAGCACCTGATAAGAGCCCCACTGCAGCAACTGCATGATGTTATCATATCAACACAGACAGAATCTCTAAGGAATGTTGCCAGCACCTTGTTGAATCCAGAGTTACAGTATGTATACGGACTGTGTAAGAGCTACATCTCTCCCTGATTCATGCTCATAAATTCACAAGTGGGACTTATTATATTATTACTGTATTTCGCTGAATATTCAACATTGGAAATATTTACAGAAAATATTTACAGTGGAACTTCAGCACTTGAACTTAATTCATTCCAGAAGGCTGTTCGAGTGCCGATTTTTCCGAGTACCAAACGAATTTTTCCCAACCAATTTTCTTTTTGGTTGGCTGTTATCACTAACCCTCTTAGGTCCCATGGTGACTTATTTAAATAATATAAAAAAACACCAAAAACTGCGAAGAAACACAAAATAGTTTACAGTGAAATTTTGGCAGGTTGTGTTTGTTTGGTCGAGTGCCCAGCAAATGGCTGACTACCGAGAGATTTGTTTACCAAACAAAGCATTCAAATACAAATTTTTAGTACAGAGCTTTTTCGAGTCTGAGGTTCCAGTATATAGGGGTTTAGCCGAAGTAAACCATAATTCAGTTGGGGTAATACTAAACTAGAAAAGTAT